AAATTTGCAGGAAATTCGTTATCTATAGCTAAATTTTTTGTTAAACCAAAATCTCCTCCATCTTTTGTTACCACATTGAAAAATCTCATTTTCCATTGAAAATTCTAACTTCGAAATATAAAGACATTTTAAAAAAATAGAACAATCAAATGTACAGATAGGTTACACAAAGTAATCCTAAGACAAAATATACACTATTCTAAAATTTCTAGGATTTCGTAAAATTCATGATCTTAGATCAAGGAAATGTTCAAACGGGTCAAGTCTAGATATTCTAATAGGATAATCATTACAACACCAAGGTATGTTAACAAAAATTCAAATTCACGCAATACAATCTCACACAATGACTATATGACAGTTAAAGCACAAAATCAATTATCAACTTGCAATCAAATCCAATATTTCAAATATGACAAATAACTCCTAAATTTCTAGCACAAGCAACGGTTACCGGTAACCCCAATCCTAATGTTACCCCACACGATGAAGCGCTAATGCTGAAATTTAAACTAGGATAAGCCAATAACCAAAGTGGACCAATATAAATCCATAAATTATGAGATATATGAATTTCTCACTTTAGGACCACAACTATTTGTTCTAAAGTCTCTAGCAACCAATCAACTAAGATCGAATCTCGAACATGTGAAGAACAACTCTGTCCAAATCCTAATGTACAACCTGAAACAGAAAACTAATCCTAATGTACAACCTGAAACAGAAAACTAACACCACCAAAATATCAAAAATAATGTTATGAACAAGTATGTACCCTCACATACCACTACCAGCTTTTGCGCATGGGCTTCACATGCTGCCGTCACAATCACGTGCCTGACAGTCAAAATCGCTTCCACCTGCATATCACTCCAGTGGTCTCCATTTCACCAAAAGCCTTCTAAATTGGCTAAAAATCATGAAAACAAAGGCGGATTTTTGGCAGTTTTCTAAACAATTTTTATTTGATTTCTGATTCATTTATGTTAGTTTCCTGGACATTTTTTTGTATGTTTCACAAGTCAAATCCACCACCTTGAAGCTCTGATACTATTTGTTACGAAATAATGAAATTAAGCAAAATAATGGCCTTAAACGTTTCGGACACATTTTCATCACAATTAACAATATCTTGAATGAGTTTGTTAAAAATATCCAGATTGTCATTAAAATCCTTTGAAATATTCATTTTAAAACTAAAAAAAACCTTTCAAGTAATTACAATTTATTGGGAGTAAACTTAAGCAAATATAAGTCCTCCAACTTTTGTCAAAGTTCTTTTGTAGAATCAAATTTTCTAACTTTTCTCAAAGTAGTATCAGATAGGTATAAAATAATTGAAGTGTAAGCAAGTTCATCATACTCATCTTTTTGTATTTCTGTCAAATTTGCAGGAAAATTCGTCATCTATAGCTTTTGAAATTTTTTGTTAAACCAAAATCTCCTTCATTTTTTTTTTTTTTTTTACCAAATTGAAAAATCTCATTTTTCATTAAAAATTTCAACTTCAAAATATAAAGATATTTAAGAAAATAGAACAATCAAATGTATAGATAGGTTACACAAAGTAATCCTAAGACAAAATATACACTATTCTAAAATTTCTAGGATTTCGTAAAATTCATGATCTTAGATCAAGGAAATGTTCAAACGGGTCAAGTCTAGATATTCTAATAGGATAATCATTACAACACCAAGGTATGTTAACAAAAATTCAAATTCACGCAATACAATCTCACACAATGACTGTTGACCCCAACAAGTGCGCCAACAGATGCCGATCCCACCTGCGCTTGCATGGGCGAATGTCCAACACGCTAAGACACGTGGATGGTCTAAAACGAGCAGTTCAAAGGGGCGTGGGAGTAGCCCAACGACGCGGGACGGTGACGTTCGGAATTCGACAGGTTGTTCATAATCCGATCGTACAATAATTACCAACCGGTGCTCGTAAATGTATATGTAAAAGTGTATAAACTCGATTTGTGTATTGCAAATAAATGAGAGAGAGTTGAGTAAATGTAATCTTTTGTATTGATTCTTGCATTAGCCTTTGACATTGCACAATGTGGGTATTTATAGTGATACACATGGAATGGGAGCCCTTAGATGAAGTGGCACGTGGCCTCATCCCCTTAGTTCAAACGTCTGTTATTAGGTATGGGACTTGACTTGCTAGCTTACGGCGCATTTATTGCTTCCACAGGTCCTTTATACTAGTGACAAGACTTGACTTTTATGCTTGTGACAAACGTTCCATCAGTCATTCGAATAAGATCTCTGAGCAGGTGATCACTTGGGAGAAGTGATAATGGAGGAAAACTCCTTGTAGTTAGGAGGCTCGCGCATCAGCTTCAGGGCTTCGACCATTTGACAAATACCTCCATCTAAGGACCTCAGCTAAATTCAACAGGTTCCATGCCTTGGGTAATGCGGCTCGATAGTTGGGCTTCAGCAGAGAACGTCGGATCGTGGTGCCTCGATTGATGGACCTCGGCTTGAAGCAGTTCGGATATAACCCACCTCGACAATGTGTGCCACCTCGGTAGGAACGCCACGTAGATCAGGATGAGTGGGCCATTGGCCCAGGTGGGTATGACAGATGTGACAACACGCAACAATAGTCCCCCAAGTCCGAGTATAATCATTAATGTAATGCGAGGCCTTTAATGGAGTAGAAATTGAAAGAATTTTTGAACCCCCGAATAATAGTCCACCAAGTCCAAGTATAGATATTTATATCATGGTTGGAGTTTGAGGAGTGTTGCTTTGGGTGAGCGATGAAGTAGGATAGGTGTATGAATTCTGAAGATGAGCCGAGGTGGTTGAGTAGCCGAACCTGCGAGGCTTTGATGTTGAATGGTGAGGAGGAAGCCGAGGTGGTTGAGGAACCGAACCTGCGAGGCTTGAATGCTGAATGGCGAGGAGGAAGCCGAGGTGGTTGAGGAATCGAACTTGTGAAGCTTGGATACTGAATGGCGAAGAGGAAGCCGAGGTGGTTGAGGAACTGAACCTGCGAGGCTTGGATGCTGAATGGCGAGGAAGAATCCGAGGTTGTTGAGGAACCGAACCTGGGAGGCTTGGATGCTGAATGGTGAGGAGGAAGCCGAGGTGGTTGAGGAACCGAACCTGCGAGGCTTGAATGCTGAATGGCGAGGAGGAAGCCGAGGTGGTTGAGGAACCGAACCTGTGAGGCTTCTTGAGAAACCGAACCTGCGAGGCGCCAGAGGTCCAATGGTAATGATTGTGCGTTGGTTGTTGTGCCAATGATTTGATGTTTTGTGCTCGTTTTCGAGGAAAGGTGGCTGAACCGTTACGACTTCCAAGGCGTTGCTACCGTCGAATTAAAAATGCAATTATGAGGGCAGCTGGCGTTTCTGGAAGCCGACACGTTGGAGAGGTGCGTGGGAGGCACGCATAAATCAGAGGCGTAGGATTCAAAAACTGTTTGAATTCAACGCCTCGAATTGGATCTGAAATGGAAGGCTCGGATTGACTGAGATTTGATCTGACGACTGGGGTTCGTCTTGGACCTTTATAAAAGGAGAGAAAATCCTAATTTTCAGGAGTTTTGAACACTTTGCACTCTGAAACTCTCTCAAATCTCCAATTTTCCGACGTCGAGGTTGTCTGTAATATTAACTTCCGACCAGTCTCCGTTTGTGTCGAACTCGTTTAGGTATTATTTGCATAAAAAACCCTGGTTACTGTCTTTGTACTGAAAAAATGGAGTCCACTTCGGGTAGGGAGCTCGTTACAGTGGCATCTTTAGACTATGGGGTCGGTCATGGGGGGATGTCCGAGATGGATAGGTATGCCATGGCCGAGGAGGCTGTGGATTATACCCAAGAGTGGGGAGCTTCTAGAGTGCCCTCGAATATGATGGAGAAGAGGTTGGGGGAACTTAGGGAGAGGTACAGTGTACCCCATAACATAGAAATGTTAGTGCCCGAGCCGAACGAGCGGGCCTGCTATCCGAGGCCCCGCTGCATGGCCGTGAGTGAATACCTGTTCAAGGCAGGTATGCATCTTCCTCTGCACCCTTTCTTTAGGGCGATGCTTAGGAAATTCATGCTGTCGCCGACCCAGGTTCTGCCGAATGGGTGGAGCCAGCTGGTCGGCTCATACTTCCTGTGGAAGGAAGTGTCACTTGGGGAGGACATGCCTCTTCATGTGTTCCTGACCCTGTTCCAACCCCGGGTAATTGGGAAGGAGTCAAGAGAGTGGTACTACCTCACACCTTGGGGGGCTCACGCACCCTTTGTGGTGGGACTTCCTTCCTCTATCAAGGGGTGGAAGGAGTCCTGGTTCTGGGTGCAAGGTAAATGGTAGGTAGTGGAGGGTGACAAAGCCTTGTCATGCACAGTGCCGACCCAGTACTACGAAGCTCGTGAGTCTCCCGACCTCTGCTTGTCTTTTGAAGTTAGAATTTGAATTCGTCTAACTGTTGGAGGTTCCTTTGCAGATAGTAGTACGAGGTTCGAGCTCAACAGGGAGGAATTCGAGGTGATAGAGGACATTTACAAAAGGCCGCTGAAGCTTCGGCACTTCGACCACCTGATTGATAGAAGCAGATATTTTTGGACTTCGAGCTGATGGCATCCAGAGGTATGAGGCCCCAACACTTGATCCCTTATTTTTATCCTTATTGTTTCTTATGCTTATACTGATCTGACATTGTGCAGACAAATTCAAGAAGAGGGAGTACCCCGCTCCGGACATGGCCTCTATTTTGAAGGCCACTTCTACTGCGAAGGCGAGGCCCCTGAAGCCGGGGTCCAGTAGGGCAAAGGAAGTCCAGGGCCTCGGAGGAGGCAACTACTCAAAGGCTAGAGAAGCCTAAGAAGCCTAGGGGCAAGGAGAAAGTCTTTGAGGAGACTAAGAAGAGGAAGCTGGTGCACATCTCCGGCTCAGCTGGCAAGTTTGGGACCTCAGTGTCCCATAGGGCCGAACAGACTGGAGAGCCGAAGCTTCTTGCTGCAGCCTCTAAAGCCATCAAAATGGAGATGGTAAGAGAGGTAGAGGCTGAAGAGGCTGCAAGGCAAACTGCAGAAGCCGCCGAAGAGGAGGCGGCAAAGGAGAAGCCGGTTCGGGAGAAGGAAAAGTCTCCAAACTTCCTAGCTGGGAGGGAGGATGAGCTGGCCCTAGCCTCGGTGGAGGCTCTCCCTAAGGAAATCAGAAGTTCCACTGAGAGCTTTTACAAGTTCTGGACAGAGAGGTGGTAGCTACATGCCTCGTCTTGTGATGCCACCGACCTCACAAGGGCACTGGTGAGCCAAAGCGCCCGGACCTTTGGCCTCGCGCTCGAATGCAGGGAGGCGTTAAGCGAATTCCAGACAAGGACCCACGCCTCGGAGGGGAAAGCTGCCTCCCTCGCAGAGGAGGTTAAAGCTGCTAAGGCCGAGGCCGAAGAAGCCAAATCTCAGAAAGTTGAAGAGGCGGCGAAGCTGGAGTCTGCTTTGGCCCAAATTGATGCCCTGAAGAAGGAAGTGTATGAGTCACAGTGCGAGATGGCATCCTTGACAAAGAAGGTGGAGGTCTCCAATGAGCACCAAAAGGTGACTGCTGAGGCCCTTGAGAAGGCGAATCTCTCCTTGGCTGGTGCTCGAGATGCTTATCAGTTTCTTGAAGGCCAGGCGAAGTGGTACATGAACGACGCCTCTGTTGCCAAAGAAGAGGCCCGAACGGCGGGGGAAGAGGCGGTGAAGGAATACATCGCCAATTTCCATACAACTGAGGAATATAAGAGCTTCAGTGCATACTGGAGGAACTTCGCCTATGCCGAGGTGATGGAGCGGGCAGAGGAGCTGTATCCCAACTTGGATCTGACTCAACTCAAGTCTGAATTTGTGGATGAGGTTCCTCAGACCCCAGCTGAGGAGGTGCAAGGTGATAAGGCAGCTGATGCTGAAGCCCCAAGTGATGAGGCAGAGGAAGCAACTACTGATGCCCAAGTTGCCGAACCTCCAAGTGCTGAGGCGCCTCCGCCATCTAGCCAGGCTTAGACTAGGTTTTCCTTTTCAGTACTTTGTGTAATGGCCAGAGGCCCTCCTTTGTAATCCCTTTTGAATATTAATATAATGTTTTTCTTCATTCATTGTTGTTCTTTATCCAAGTTTTTGTGCCTCGTTAAACAAACGAACTAGAAGTTGATTAGAGCACGAACTAAATAACTTTAACTTGTACAATGACTTTAATCAGTCAACTGTATAAGCGTCGGACTTAAGCAAATGAACATAACTTAAGGAGAGTTGGAGCCTCGGACTTAAGCAAATGAACATAACTTAAGGAGATGAACTGTTGGAGCCTCGGACTTAAGCAAATGAACATAACTTAAGGAGATGAACTGTTGGAGCCTCGGACTTAAGCAAATGAACATAACTTAAGGAGAGTTGGAGCCTCAGACTTAAGCAAATAAACATAACTTAAGGAGATGGACTGTTGGAGCCTCGGACTTAAGCAAATGAACATAACTTAAGGAGAGTTGGAGCCTCGGACTTAAGCAAATGAACATAGCTGTTGGAACCTCGGACTGTAGGGTTGTGGCTTCTCCCCTTGGCGTTCTGTAAGGCCAAAGGGAGGCATGTGCTAGCGCCTCGGAGTTCAAGCGAGGTGGACCAGAGGTAGGCCCCGAGCCTCTCCTCCGAGGTGATGACGCATCCGAGACATGGTGGATGGTGCAACCATGTTGAGGCTTCTCCCCTTGGCGTTCAGCAAGACCAAAGGGAGGCATGTGCTAGCGCCTTGGAGTTCAAGCGAGGTGGACCAGAGGTGGGTCCCGAGCCTCTCCTCCAAGGTGATGACGCATCCCAGACATGGTGGATGGTGCAGCCATGTTGAGGCTTCTCCCCTTGGCGTTCAGCAAGACCAAAGGGAGGCATGTGCTAGCGCCTCGGAGTTCAAGCGAGGTGGACCAGAGGTGGGTCCCGAGCCTCTCCTCCGAGGTGATGACACATCCCAGACATGGCGGATGGTGCAGCCATGTTGAGGCTTCTCCCCTTGGCGTTCAGCAAGACCAAAGGGAGGCATGTGCTAGCGCTTCGGAGTTCAAGCGAGGTGGACCAGAGGTGGGTCTCGAGCCTCTCCTCCGAGGTGATGATGCATCCCAGACATGGTGGATGGTGCAGCCATGTTGAGGCTTCTCCCCTTGGCGTTCAGCAAGGCCAAAGGGAGGCATGTGCTAGCGCCTCGAAGTTCAAGCGAGGTGGCCCAGAGGTGGGTCCCGAGCCTATCCTCCGAGGTGACGACGCAGTATTACACGATTTAATCAATGCATTTTATTGAGCTATAGGAATATTACAAAGGCTGGGAAAGTCATCCAGCATGATACAATTCATTGATAAAAGATTCTGAGGTGTTCAATGTTCCATGGACAGGGTTGTACCTTGCTGTCCATATCTTCAATCCAGTAGGTTCCAGTTCGGATTTCTTCTCTGATCTTGTATGGACCTTCCCAGTTCGGCCCAAAGGAGCCGAAACCAGGTTCTTTTGAAGATGGGAAGACCCTCTTGAGCACAAGATCGCTGATTCGGAACGACTTCTTCTTGACTTTGGAGTTGAAGTATCTTGTCATCTTTCTTTGATAGGTGCCTAGTTTTAGCTGGGAGTCATCCCTTCTTTCCTCAATGAAGTCAAGATCGAGCCTCCGGAGCTCGTCGTTGGTCACTTCACTGAAGTGCAGACGACGTGGAGATGGGAGTCCGACCTCCACGGGGCTCATTGCCTCAGTCCCAAAAGCCATGAGAAAAGGGGTTTCCCCAGTTGGGGTCCTGTGGTGGTTCGGATTGCCCAAAGTACTTGGGACAGCTCATCAACCTAAGCTCCCTTGGATACATCAAGCTTCCTTTTCAGGACATGCTTGATTGTCTTGTTTGCGGCTTCAACTTAGCCATTAGCTTGTGGGTGGTGAGGTGTAGAGAAATGCTTCTTTATGCTAAGGTCTTCACACGGTTCTCTAACCTTGTTATCGAATTGCCTGCCATTGTCTGAGACGATCGAGTAGGGAATTTCGAACCGGTAAATAATATTCTTCCATAGGAATTTGGAGGTGTTTGCTTCTGTGATTCTTGCCAGTGGTTCAGCTTTGACCCACTTTGTAAAGTAATCAATGGCCACTATTGCAAAGCTTACGCCTCCTCTACCCTTTGGTAGAGGGGCTATGAGGTCCACACCCCACTTTGAGAAAGGTCAGGGGCTGGAGACTGCAGTCAAATCCTGTGATGCTCGTCTTTGAACGGGAGAGAAGCGTTGGCACTTATCACATTTTTGCACAAATTCGAGGGCATCCCGTTTCAGGGTAGGCCAGTAGTACCATTGCCTCAATATTTTTTGTGCTAGAGACAGGCCTCCAGAGTGGTTGCCGCACACTCCCTCGTGGACTTCTCTTAGTATGTAGGTAGCCTCTTCTCCTCCAACGCATCGTAAGAGTGGAGAGGAGAAACTTCTCTTGTAGAGAATGTCATCGATGAAGAGGAAGTGGGCTGACCTCCTTCTCAGCTTATAAGCCTCATTCTTGTTGGTGGGAAACACCTTGTCTTTCAGATATGCTATGATCGGTTGCATCCAGGTGGGAGTTCCACGGACCCACATGACATTAGGGGCCTCAGTGGAAGGCAGGAGGAGGTGCTCGATAGGCACTATAGTGAGTAGCTCTGAGTCTTTGCTACTAGCCAACTTCGAGAGTGCATTCGCATGGGCATTTTCAATGAGGAGAAATTGGGTTAACCCGAACTTTTCAAAGGATGGGATGAGGTTCATCACCGTCTTCAAATAGAAGGCCATCATTTTGTCTTTGGCTGAGAAATTACCATTGACTTGGCTAACAACCAGCTGGGAGTCACTACTGACGAGTAGCTTCTTTACTTGCATTTCCTTGGCCAGTCTGAGACCTGCAAGGAGTGCTTCATACTCTGCAATATTGTTGGTGGCTTTGAATCCGAACCTCATGGCCGAGGTGAGTTTGTGACCCTCGGGGCTGATGAGGACAACCCCGGCACCTGAGCCGATCTCCCCAGCTGAGCCATCGATGAAGAGGCTCCACTTGGGGGGTTCAACGGATTATGTGATTTCGTCCAACTCAGGTAGGTTGGCGAATTCAGCAACAAAGTCAGCTAAAGCTTGCCCTTTGATGGCTACCTAGCTTTGAATACAAGGTCAAATTCACTTAGTTCCACTGCCCATTTCAACAATCTTCCCGAGGCATCGAGCTTTTGGAGAACTTGCCTTAGGGAAAAATTTGTAAGCACATGGATGGTATGAGCTTGGAAGTAGGGTCTCAACTTCCTAGAGCCCGTAATTAAGGCCAAAGCAAGCTTCTCCATATCTGGGTATCGGGTCTCCGGCGATAGGAGCGCTTTACTCGTATAGTAGATGGGAAGTTGGGTGGACCCTTCTTCTCGAATCAGAGCCGAACTAATGGCGTCATTGGAGACGGCAAGATATAGTTGTAAGATGTCGCCGGGCTTCGGCTTGGAGAGGAGGGAGGCCTGTCCCAAATGCCTTTTCAATCCTTGGAAGGCCTCTTCACATTCCTCAGTCCATTGGAATTTCTTCTCAGCTTTGAGCACTTTGAAAAATGGGAGGCACTTGTCAGTTGCTTTGGAGACGAAGCGGCTAAGTGCTGCCACTCGTCCAGTTAAGCTTTGCACCTCCTTTGGCTTTTAAGGGGACCTCATCTGGCACAGAGCCTCAATCTTCTCGGGATTTGCTTCAATTCCTCGCTGGTTGACCATGTACCCCAAGAACTTGCCGGAAGCCACCCCAAAGGCACATTTCAAGGGATTGAGCCTCATCCTGTACCTTCTCAGGATTTGGAAGGTGTTGCTGAGGTGTGCTATGTGGTTCTCTGCTTCTAGGCTCTTCACCAGCATGTCATCCACGTAGACCTCCATTGTCTCGCCAATGAGATCGGTAAACATTTTGTTCACGAGTCTTTGGTAGGTTGCTCCGGCGTTCTTCAACCCGAAAGGCATCATTCTATAGCAATAGAGGCCTCGGTCCGTGATGAAAGAGGTGTGCTCTTCATCAGCCGGGTGCATGGGGATCTGGTTGTAGCCGGAGTATGCATCCATGAAGCTCAACAACTCGTGCCCAGCCGTGGAGTCCACCAATTGGTCAATCCTTGGAAGCGGAAAGCTATCTTTCGGGTAAGCTCTATTAAGGTTGGTAAAGTCGATGTATACTCTCCATTTGCCATTGTGTTTCTTAACCAAGATCGAGTTGAAGACCCACTTCGGATAGGTGGCCTCCCTGATGAAGTCATTTTGGATTAGCTTCTGAACCTCTTCCTTTAGGGCCTCATACCTCTCGGGATTGAGGGCTCTCCTTTTTTGTCTATGCGGGGCAATATTAGGGTCAATTTTCAAGTGGTGGCAGCTAATCTTGGGGTCTATGCCCACCATGTCATCATGCCTCCAAGCAAAGACGTCAAGATTCTTGCCTAGGAAGTCCTTAATCTTTTCTCTCAAAATGTTGGATAAGCCTCTGCCTACTTTCAACACCTTAGACGGATCTCGGGGGTCGGCTGAGAAGCTCTCAAATTCCTCTACAGGGGATGCTTAAGGCTCATGTTCCATTATGCGGGGGTCGATCTCATCAATGATCAGCACCTCCTGAATAAGCGGTGCGTCAATCATATCAACATCTTCCTGGTCAGTGGGAGCGTCAACTGGGACATCCGCCATGACCACATCAGCCATGATCACGTGGACGTCCCGGGGCTCTACCTTCTTAATGGAGCTCAGATAGCGCTCTCGCGAACCTCTCTGGTCGCCTCTCAACGTTGCCACCCCATTTTCTGTTGGGAATTTCATGCATAGGTGGTGGATGGAGGTGACTACTCCCAATTCCTTTAGGGCCGATCTGCCCAGGACTCCGTGGTAAGCCGACCGGCTGTCAACTACGAGGAATTCCATAAAGTTCATTGTAGTTTGAGGAGATTTTCCCATCTCCACTGCCGGTGTTATCTTTCCTCTCGGAGTGATGCTATCTCCGGTAAATCCATACA